ATAAGATAAGAGAGTACTTTATTTGGGAATTCTTTATGAGACAGACCTTGGCCTAATGTCTCTAAGCAAAGAAGTTTTAAGACTGTTCTCTTACTGCGGAGGCTATCAGAGTTCAGTATGCAGTACACCTTACATTTCACCTCATTAATCAGGCAAGGTTATTCTAAGTTTGAATTTAAAGTATGGTTTAAGTTGAAATAACATGTCTCAGCAAATGAGGTTGTGCAGAGGCTGTGAAAACATTTGAAAAACATTTTAACCTATAAAATAATAAAGTATATTTAAATGTTACACATGTTTTTCATACACATTACAATTTCGATAAAAGTGGACCTCTAAAACTTTGATGTATTGATAAATGTTTCAGATTTAGAAATGTGGCAGTTTTGTTTTCCAGAGAGGCTCTGAGAAATAATTGTACACAAAATGCAAATATACAGTATGTTATTTATAGTGTTGTTTATGCTGATAAAGAAACATCAAATGACTGCATCTTCCCTCAGCACAGATTTGAGTGATCACTAGTTCATTTCATCACATTAAAATTGGGTTGCAAGCAAATAATAAATGTGGTTAATAATGCATTGGTAGTGAGCAGCAAAGATCATGTGTGCTCACGAGTCAAAAGGCTCATATCCCACACATGGCAAGTCATTTTGATACATCGATTGCATGTGCAATATATCTTCAAAGTGCCTCAACTATGCATCTTTTTGACAGACATTGATTATCTCGTACGGTTAACACACGTTTCCCTTTGCACTCACTTGAAGTGTTTATGATTGCCATACAAGAAGAAGTGCAAGAACTGCCCTTAGCACTTAACCTCATCTCGACTTCAGCACTCTGCAATATCTGCAACAGTTTTTAATTAAATATGAAGAAAAATGGGAAAACAGCCCTTGAAGGGATGCAAGTGTCCACACTTTAATTTGTTAATAGAGCGGTACATCATTAGTGTAATGATTGCATCGAACCATAAGACACAAGCCTGTATACACTAATAATGACATCCACTCGACATGACACATGAAGAACATTACTGTAAGCGTGAATCCATAATGCTAATAGTTCTTGAGCGTATGAAAGGAGTCAGACTTCAGGCATTTGTGAATACCCCCATTCTCACGGTAGTCTAGACATTCTCACAAGTTTCCTTAGCATTGCCATGTCTGTGAACGTGATTGTGCACTTCTATCGGTAAAGGCTTCCTTATTTAATCATGCTGCTCTAAATAGTAAGATCGTAGTGTTCCTGCTATATATGTTATACTATTTTTACATGTAGGACAAAGACATATTTTATTGGTTAAGGGGAAATATTTAAGAAGACACCTTTCTGTGAGGCTGTATAGCAATGCTTTTAGCTTAATGCTAAAATATACATGTTGATTATTAGATTAGATAAGATTGGATTCAACTTTATGGCAGGTACTGGGACAACGTAATGCAGTTAGCATCCAACCAGAAGTGCAAGAGTAGCAGTAAAGTGCAGTGTAAAGTATAGGTATAATATAAGTAGCCTATAGACATTTGACAGATGTCAAAATATATATACAGTTTGGACAACATTAATGGGTATAAATACTATAAGCAGTATTGAATTGAATACACTCGTTGAATATAAGTTCTGACCTGATGATTGTGCTACATGAACAGTTAAGGGAACACCAAAGTTATAATTCATCTGGAGTACAGCGTGAAGATGTGATGTAATTCATATTTTCCAATATATCTTTCAAAACAAAATAAAAAATACCTAATGGTGGCACTAAAGGAAAAGTCAAGGAATCCCTAAAGTCTGTTTATTCCGAAAACCAGAGAGACTTGTGGACTGACTCAAAACAACCAATCAGCATCACCATCTAAAAAACAGACGAGTTACATATTTAAGGCAACAGGAACCTAACTATCTACACCTCCATAAATTAAACTATATACATTAGCAGGAAAAGCAGATGTACTTCTGCATGTCAATTTGCTAGACAAAAAAGACTGCAGTTGTGAAATAACAAAAAAAAGTCCAGATCCGACCATGAAGAAACATATCACTCTTGTAATGACACATTGTACAATAACTTGTTCCACAACAGCACAGGTGGATACACAACAGTATACAGCACTCCAAGAAAAACTTCTTTCAGACACCCTCATTTGGGGTTTACCCATAAGTCATCCAGCTGAGATTCCTACAGGGAGAGAAGCCCATTATCACTGTGCTCAGACAAATGTAACATATGGACTACCTGATGGTGATGGAGTTGGGCTGAAAGTCTGAATACATTTCACCGGTGTCTGGAGAATTGTGGGAGTGAGTGTGAGTCTGTGTGTCTGTATGCACTGGTAGCTACAGAAAAGCCATAATTGTTTTATGAGAGTAATAGTTTATATATACCTAAAGCAGTCATGCTATATTGATTCATAATGGGTGGTCTACATCAATAAACGATGTTTACCACATGATCGATAGAGTGATGTTTATCGTATGAGATTTTGTAATGGAAATAAATGTAGCCATTATATCAAACAGACGTTCTATTCGTAAACACACACGTACCGAACACACACACACAAGTGCATGCTTAGTCACTCAAACAGGAGCAGGTGATAATAGGGCTATTCTTTATGCCAGGTCATGAATAATTCAAAATCCATGTGCTCAAACAGATTCTTGAGTTGACAGAATAATGTGACAGATTCTGAAACTGCTATTGGTTGAGAAATATCACAAAGGTTTTCGAGATCTAGCAGGGGATAACTGATCTGATGTGTGAGCTAGTAAGGGCTAACCGAATGCAATATCAAGATCTTTCATAAAAATCCAAAGGGATTTATGAATGTTTATATATGTTAACTTAATATATGTTGTCCTTCTCCAGCTATTCAATATTTTGTACTTACTGTATAGCCATCTGATAGTCATTTGGCTTGGACTATAGGAAAATAGTGCATTGTTTCTAACGTACAATTTAAAATCACGCTACAGACCACATGATGTCATTTATGTTGTGTTTATTTATTCGTTTTGAATGAATGTCAAACCATTGCAAGGAATACATAGTTCACATTCACATTGTACACCATTCCACAGTAGATTCGACCTCTTAGCCATGCCATTACTTTACTCATTCATCTCTAACTACATGGAACCATGTTTTGTCATGAAGTTCATTTTTCCTCCAGGTTGCTAAATCACCTAACGTGCAGGGTGCCATTTGGACTCTTGAATCATCTTTGCAGGGGAGAGTGATGGCAGCTTTCCTGAAGCTTGGCAATTGGCCTCCCCATGAGTCAGTGGAGAGACACTTATTGTCTTTTCAGTGTTCAATAAGGCTTTGCATGAATTTCTTCAACCTCTTAGCTTAGTCAGCCAAAAGCTCCCTAAACGCCAAAGTCTTCATTATGGCCGTGGAAAGAGTGGCTGGCTTGAGGTCACCCCTGATGTTCCACTGAATGCCTCGGGAAGACTCAAATTAGAAAGCTGCTGCAGTCACCGGCCACGGCAACCAACTGTGCTGAATGACTCCAATCTCCTTTATAAGTTTGGCAACAGATTAACAGTGTTGTAAACGCTGCTTGGGACAGGACGTCAGGGATATAAACAAGTTCCTTCAGATTCTCACAATGTGGTGGCTGATACTCTCAGTTCTGGAGCATTTTTGGAGAGGCTGGCTTACAAACACTTCAGACTGAAACTTCCTGGAAATAAATAAACAAAGAGGCTCTTCATGCAGCATCTGCTCAGATGGAACGCGTTCAGTCAAGGCCTAAAAAAAAGACGGCCAGGCTAATGAGAGTTAACTGTGCATAGCAGAATGTTTAGAACAGCTGACCAACCCTCCATAAAAAAGGGGGAAAGGAATGTGGAAAAAACAATAAGTTATATCTGCACTGACCAATTGAATGTCTCCTTTTTCAATATGCAAAGCAATCGAAAAAATGCAAATTAACTGAGCTCCAACATTTGTATTTGGGAATGTTTGCACGTTCCTTTATTATTTAATTGATTAAATTATTAATCTGATGCTTTATTGTGCATCTGTTGAAAAGACCCAACAAGACCCTCCCTCCATCATCAATTGGAGGTTGATCAGCAGGCGATTTAGATGACTCTCTAACTCTGTATCAAAGTCCATTATAGTCCCATTCTACCAATGTATTTACGCAAAGGAGGCTATTGCAGAGTCATTGATGCCGCATTGTCAGTGACCAACTACTGAAGCCTGGAGCTTGAATTGGATTTAACTGACTGTTGATTGTTGAATCTCAGCATGTCTCTCAGAAAGTCAGGGTGGAGTTTTTAGAATAAGTAGAAAGGGCTATTAGATTACAGTTAAGAGTTTGTTCATTTAATTAGGAGGTCATCATGAATACATCTTATTCTTACCTTGATTATACAGAAGGCTACACACTTAAGTATTCTCCTGATGTCTAAGAAGAGAAATGGGATGGAAAGAAACACAGCAGGTTTGAGCTGCACCTGTAAGGAGAATAACTTTCCAAAGAGAGCACAAGTTGCCCCATAAGCATTTGTTCTTCCAGCAGCGTGCAGGCGGCACACAGGCAGGCGAGCAGCAGGCTTATACACCACTGAGCAGTGAAGAAATCAAAACAACAGCGGCTGTCACCCATCAGGAGAGAATGGAAAAATTACCAAATACACCAGCGAGCTTAAGGTCCCACTGATACATGCGCGCAGGATTTACCTCATGTTTTTCTCATGCATTCCCCTTTCCCCCCTAAAAAAAGTAAATAAAAGTCCATGAAATATTCCTGTTTTGGTTAGGCTGCAGCAGCAAAGCGAGGCGTTGTCTGTGCACAACTGAGAGGGTCCAGTTCAGGGGGGAAACCCTTTTGACTCGAATTAAGGGGAGGCATACAAGAGAATAAAAAAAAAGGAAGGAGGAGGGCAGGGAAGAAAGTATTGGTGGTGCCAGACGCAGCGGCAGTAAGAAGCGTACGTACGTGCTTTATCTTAGCGGCTGAGTGTGTGACGTGATATTGCAGCCTGCTCCTGGAGCTCTGCAAGCACCAAGCAAAGCGCGTCTATTTCTCTCTCTGTTGTAACTCACTGGCCCCCCAACATCTCACATCCACCCACTACGGATCTTTTTTTTTCACCCCCTTGTTTTTTTTCAGAGGGGGGGTTTGCGCGATTTGCTGGAGAAAACACATTGGAATAGAGACGTGGAGTCTGGCGAATTTATTTATGGTAATACTGTAAGAATTGCCTCTATTATTTGTATCACTCCAAGAATTTCTTTCTCTCTGTGTCTCTCTCGGTCTCTCTCTCTCTGCCTCTCTCTCTTTCTCGGTGGCTGTCGTGCGTTGTTGCGCTCCGTTTTGATGGGAAAAACCCAGAAGAAGAAGAAGAAGACGGGGGGGATATGAACGGGCAGACCGGAGTGTAACGCATTTTATTTTCATCCATTGAACCATCTTGTTGCGCCGGACTTAGTGCTGTCGGGAATGGGGAGTACTGATTCACTGGAGGGCTGCAGAATTTATTTATAAAGGATGTGGTCAAGTATGTTGGAAAAATAGCCATAGCTTCCGCAGTGTAAGGTAAGATTTCTATCGTCATTATTACAATTTGTTAACATTGCATGGAAAAAGATCATTTGTCATGTCATCCCTCAGTTTAAAGTTTAGTCTCCCCATGTTTAATACGTGCCCAGTCTATTCAACATGATGGCTTTGGACCTTTCATCCGCTCACATTAGTCCAGGGTGCTTAACAGCTGATTTTTTAAGAGCTGATCTCTCTCCTGAGAGGCAAAAATCACTTTAAAGCGCCGTGCGTCGAACTGACACTGCATGAGATGCAGCCCGTGTCTCTATATTCAGATGTCCTCTCGAGACCGAATTGCTCATAGAAGCCCGGCAATAAAATCAGCGTCTCTTGACGACCGATCACTCGTCTCCAGAATACTGATTTGTTTTTGTGTTGCGTAGCCTTGGCAATGAATCTTGCGGAATCATATGGATTAATCGCGACTAAAAGCTGATTTCACTAAACACTGCTGCTACAAATCCTTATGTAACTCATATTATCCTAATGTGGTCTGCTGGGCAGGTTTTATCATTTAGAAAAAATAAAAAATAAGTTAGAGACACACAATAAGTGCGATATTCTTTGGACTCTCGTATCTATAGCCTACTTCGTAATTCAACGCCCACACACACACACACACACACACACACACACACACACACACACACACACACACACACACACACACACACACACGCGCGCGCGCGCGCGCTCGCACGCAAACACACACACAGTTTGAGACACACGCGCACGTTCTGCTGTGACACTGCTCACAGCTGCATTGCCTGTAGGATTAAAGCAATCAGGACATCGCATTGCATTCTCTCCCTACCTCCTTCTCTCCCCCCACAAACGCACTTAAACGCGCACGCAAACACACACAGAGGCACACACCACACATTCACACACACACTGGCTCTTTATCAAATTGCATTGTCAAACATGTCAAGCCTTGAATTTTCGGAGACATGCAGGTCGGACCGAAAGCGCACAGAAGACAAGAAAAGCCATGATGACCAGGCAATCGCAGAAAGATTTTTTTTTTCCTTTCTATGCATTTGTGTTCCTCACATTGTCTAACTGTCGTGTGAGGAAACAGGCTAAATAACCAAGAAAACAGCTTGATTTGAAAGAGATCTTGGTTACTGCATGCGTAAAAATTAGCAGTTGCATCCCACAGCTCGTGAGTACGGCACTGTGACTTTGGATACCTCTTTCACAGTTTATCTTGTTGATGTCAGATAATCTAAAGAGTTTTATTTGAATATCTCCAGGGATTGTGCCATACCAAATACGACCCAATTAATAACGTCTAAATGACTCACATTATTGCACCCAACCCCAACACCCCCCCCCCCCCCCCAAATAAATAAATAACTTAATAAATCACGACCAAAGCAACCACAAGGTGGCAATGTTTGCACAAAGTACAGTAAAGAGGGAGGCAGGATGGAGATGCAAAAGACATGTTGCTGAGGTTAACGTGCCCCCCCCCCCCCTTCCATTTTCATGATAGGGCGTGATAAGAAGTGTGTGAAGCACATCAATGAGACTTGACAGATGATCTCTCAAGTGTGATTGATGTGCTTCACGTCCTCTGGTTCAAACATTCTCTTGTGTGACACTCTCCATCTCTCTTTGCAGGCCAAATGACATAGGATGAAGGCTGTTCGAAACCTGTTGATTTATATATTTTCCACCTATCTTCTGGTTATGTTTGGATTAACTGGTGCCCAAGATTATTGGTGTTCCACTCTGGTCAAGGGGGTCATCTATGGATCATATTCGGTGACTGAAATGTTTCCTAAGAACTACACAAACTGTACATGGACGCTGGAGAACCCAGACCCTACCAAATACAGCATCTACCTGAAGCTATACAAGCGAGACTTGGGCTGCTCTGAATATTCTTTGCTAGCTTATCAGTTTGACCATTACTCGCACGAAAAGATCAACGAGTTGCTGAAAGTCAACGAATCTATAGTGTACCTGTGCGATTCAAAGAATATATATGTATTTTTGCTGTACGACAAGAATTTCGCTCAAATACGGAGAGTTTTCCCATATGATTACAACGGATTGACAACACAGAAGCTGGATGAGGAGGAGAAATCCAATGTGGAGTTTTTGGTCTTGAATAAGGCAAGCCCCAGCCAGTTTGGCTGTCAAGTGCTTTGTACGTGGCTGGAAAACTGCCTGAAGTTAGAGAAAGGGACAGTGGAGACATGTGGGATTGTGTACACAAAATGCACATGTCCTCAGCATTTAGGCGATGGAGAATCAGAGAGCGTGCTCATGCTCAACAACGTGGTTTTACCTTTAAATCCACAAACGGAGGGTTGCTTGTCACCTCAACTAGAAGCTGGGCAGGTCTGCAATCTGAGTGCAGAAGTGAAGCGTCCTCCTAAAGAAGGTGAGTATCCACTCATTTTCCCCTAATGGTGAAATAGATGTAGACTTAATGGACTACTGTATGCATAGACGAGATAGTAATCATGTCAAATGTGCACGTCAATCACTCCCTTCTCTGCCCTTATTGCATGTTTGAAGTGTGATGGCCCATGAAACAAAGAGCACACATAGACCTTTAGATTGCAGTTGGCTCAGAAATGTGTCAACTTCAAAAACAAAGCTGCCAGAGGAGTTGGGTGTAGTAATGACCACAGCAGCACAAATCAAACCACCAACAGGGGGTCTTTTTTTTGGTTGGACTGAGTTCAAAATGCACTATCATTGCTGTGAATTTAAAATGGCTGTTTTTTCTACACATCAGTACAGAGTTAAAATGGCTGCAAATCTAAATACACCATTTTTAATGTGTTATACATTTATGTCAGTTGTCATCTTTACAAAGACCAACAGTTGCCAATATGGACGCATCATTGGTTTTATTGGCTTATGGGACATGGAGCGACGGAGGCAGCAGCATCAGGTTGGATAACATTGCTCATGCAATGCAACATTGATTTTGGTGCTTTATCAAATCTGATATATTTAAATATATTTTGAAATAAAAGAGAAGTGGTATTTTCAGAAGCTGCTCTATTATATAGTGATGCTAATTGTCCAGTGTTGCCATAGCGCAATGCAACGTGTTTATATGTTGGAATTCAGCGATAATTAACATCAAGTCGAGTGCTTAGAGTAAAAAAAAAAATGTTTTCAGCAGACCAGCTTGCAGATATAATTATGCATGTGCACAAGTGCATACATAAAACCCCTAGACATCCATATGTAGACATCTGAATGAAGATTTAATATTAAATGATAATGTTAAGGTTATAATGATTCTGTTCATTAGTGTCACAGTGTAGCAGGGGGGAGTGTTTTGTAGTTAACATACTGTGTAGGCCTTTGAATTGCAAAGGGAGCCCCTCTCGACACCTAGCTGCTTGCGTATTAACAGATAGCAGAGGAAAAACCCCAGAGGAATATGCTGCATACTTCAGAGGTGAGGTGCATTTCACCGTGAGACTTAAAGGAGGGGCATTCATCACGGCACACTGAACCAAAAATAATGAGTCAACCTTTAGATTTTGGGGAGGAAAAATAATGATAGCAGAAATGTTATGGAGTTATCTCCCTTGTGGCTCTCACCAAAATAACAGTTGCTATAATAGCTCCCTTGAGAACAGGTGGCAGTTTTCTAATCAAGAAGAACATGTGAACATCGATTTTAGGAGTTCAGCCGTTTGGTTGACTCTTCCTGACTGTTACACTACATTTTTAGACAGGTTCTTGAATGACATTCGTACAGGATGTTTTTCTAAAAAATATTTTACTAAGAGGTACAGGTATTTTAAATACTCAAGTTACTCTGCATATTTCTAAATGATTTATTAAGGGGCTTGCCTCCATCAAATCAGATGATAAACTCATTTTCAGAGTACCGTGCACCCACCCTTTCACTATAGCCCTTAAGCAACAATGCATACAATTTCTAATTCAATCTAGCATTACAACTCACCCTGCAGTTAACAGCATCATAACGTATGACTCAGCTGGGTGTTTTTGGTGAATTATTTAATCATTTTATGAATCTCACGTTGAAATGAAATACAACTGACTAGGAAGCATTATGCTTATTTCCATAGATTTGTTTTGCTCCAACATAACATTTGACATTTTTTTTCTATCAGCATGTTAATAACGGCTTAAGAGCACAGCTTATTTTTTTTTCCCTCAGAAGATTTTCCACTAGCATCTATTTATAGGGCCGGTTGATGGGAGGTTTGAATAAATCCGTTTTCATCTGGATAACGGGGAGATCACCACTGGGTTTAAAAGAGCACTGTGTCTCCCGTGGCATCACAGCGACAGACTGGGTGTTCCTGATGAAGAATAAAGCATTACAAACAGTCGACAAGGGCTCCATTTCATAAAATTGCTTGTCTTTGATCTTCTCAGTTCCTGGTAGAGGACGGCTTCAGAGCACATCAAAGAAAAGCAGGGCTAGAGGTTGTGTACTCCAGCCATGCCACTGAAATGCCCCTTCAGTGTTTCCCTGAGGACAACATAATTTTAAAGGTTAAAGCTCCTAACTATTTGAGATGATTATGCAGACAAAGAACAGACCTCATTCTTTGATATGTGACATTTTGGAAACCAAAGAGTCACCTACTAGTCACTACTAGGATGACTCATTTATGCAGTCTTATTTTTGTCACATTCACACGTTTCAGGAATATAATTGTAAAAAAGAATCGAAAGGATACAACACAGATTGAATTTGATGTCTATTCTCTTTTCTTTGTGTTTTGTGTTTGCGTGGTTTTCCTCCCACATCCCACGCATGCAAGTCAAGTGGGCTGCTGTCTAAGATACTGAAGGTGAATGAGAGACAGTCTACGTTAGCTCTCTGATGCCATGCTAATGTGACTGGGCTCTTTTTGGCTTTTAATCCAATGAATGATCAGATAAACTCAAGCTAGAGGGAATTGTTTTGTATTTTTTATAAGTAAAAGCTATCAGCTGTCACATATGTAAATGTCCCTGCTGAATTTATACTGAAAAATATATCAAATGCATGAAGAGGCTGCAGATAGCAACTACAACCAGACATATTCGACTTTTAAATTCCCCTTCCCTGTGCAATCCGGTGCAGATGCCTGTGTTTACATGTAAGCTCAAAATCCGCATATTCACAATGCAATTTTCAAATCATCCACAAATTGAACTTGGCTCCAGGAGATAAACAACAAATGACGCATTGTCTTGTTTTGTGGCTCAGCATACTGGAATGTCCTCGGCTGCAGGAAAGTGTCTCAGTTTATTTTAGTTTGGTTGGAAATTGAACGTTTTCAAGGATCAGGGTTGAGGAGTGTCATGGCTTGGGAGGACTCAGCTTTGTTGCATGCCCTCCGAGCTTGGATCTTATTGTAACTAAAATTAAAAAAGCAGTGAAAATATTGACTAAATAGATCAAAATCAATACCGTATTTCCAAGAACCACCCAATTAAAACCCAAACTATATTGCAATGTTAAATAACAAATAGAAATGTGTTAAAATGAATGGAAATTGATTTCTGTTCTAGTTTTAAGCTTTCGTCGGCATTAATTTCTGTCAACTATCATGACCTTGGATTACACATATTAAACCTGACATTCCAGGAGATGGCGCTCTTCTGGCCATTGCTAATCAATGAATCACTGTTGTTTTTCCTCATGCTGTCTTGAAGAATTAAACTATAATAATTTATGGTAAATTGTAGAAGATAGAATGCAATTCAACCAAGCTACTCAGTGGAAATCTAATGTTAATAAACTGGGGCCAGGATGACATCATGGGGGGAGTTTTTTGTTATTATTGTAGTAAAAAAGTACTTTAATGGATTTCTCATAAATAAAAAAATGATCAGTTTATCACCATTTTCCAACAGTGTATGTTCTATATGTAGCTAGATACTTAAAGGTGGGGTATGTAATTTATTTCAGAAACACTTTTTGTTATATTCCATGGAATGCTCTTAACATCCAGATAGCAATAAATATATTAAATGCTTTGACGATAAATACATAAAAAAATTTCATCTGTGGAAGCCGTAGTACTGTAAAAAGAACGTCCCGGCTAAAATAACTGGATGGCCTACCTGCCTGTCAGCCTTCCATCTGTGCACAAACTGATCTCGTGCCCTCATTGGTCATGTGCGCGTTCGTGTGCGTTGGAGGAGGGGCTCTGTAAGGAAGTGGCAGATTTTTTCTGGTAGTGTATTTTCAAATTCTAGCGCACTCGAGCTAGTTTCGCCAAAATTACATACCCCACCTTTAACTCAGATATTTTACGTTAAAAAAAGTGAAAGGGAAATTTGAGTCAATTAAAATAAAATAAAACAAATAAAAAATATAAACTATTATAGTCAAGTACACCTTTCTGTTCTCTAATAATGTTGCTGAAAAGCCAATGCACCAAGTAATTCCTTTAAAGTAAAACGTGCAATTATTTTTCACTCAAACCCTATTTAAATTCTATCAGATATTTCAGTTTGTGTAACTACACCCATCTCTGCCCCGACTTTCCATTTCTGTGTTGTCATTGACGTATACTGTAATCGTGGGTAAAGATGATAAATGTGACAGTGGCAGCTAGATGCTTTCTGGAGATAAGGCTTCATAATTAGTTTCAAACCCGATTATGCTACAAAGAACTGGAGCTCATATGCATGCAAAATATTCAAATAAATATTTTATGAGTCCACAAAGTAGGCCTCTAAATTCATTGTTAGTACAAGAAGAAGGTTAGCATTGACTGTGACATCACGGATTTACAGAGTCCCCATATTCAGTTTTCTTCTTGATAGAAACACCAATTGACACATTGGTGTTACTGTATATTCTAAAAATCCTTGCTTTGTTTGACAAGGGGGATTCAAGTCAACCGTTACTGAACGTACAAAGAGGGAAAGGAATTGAACAACTACCAAAGGTTTTCATCAAATCTAACGTATCCACTCAAAGAATAAACGCTGATGCTTATTTGTGCAGTTGCAGATGCTTATTTGATCATTGCGGTATCTGACGGCACAGAGCGTGTGCCATGTGGCAAATGGCAATAGGATTTTACTGGCAAATGAAAGGTGTGTGAAGCGTTCTAATGCACTGTCACCCGCCAAAGTCCTGAGCACTGCAGCGGCTCAGCCTAGCTGCCTCACATAGAGGTCTTTTATTCACTTTGGATCTCAGTCAAGTCACTCAGTAGTCACACTGCATTATGCTCACCCCCATTGTTCAGTACACTTGGAGGCCATTTTAGTTCCAATTCAGTGGAGGAGGGCGCTCAGTTCAACAGCACACAATCTGTTTAATCTTAGACATGCTTTATTTGTCTTTAACTTTAGTAAATAATCCTAAATAGCCCATGTCCCAATTCTCCCTAAAACCCTCTGAACCTACTGTAAATAATGTTGCCGTGAATT